AAAGGCATTTTAATTAAGTTTCTATCTTAAATAAAGCGACTGATTCGATAAAATTGTTTATTCCTAAAAGAGATGTAAAATTTTGTTAAGGCTTTTATAATAATTTATTTTATATATATTTTTTATAATAGGGTTACTTTGAAATGATGTATTTCTGCATTTTTCACTATCGTTTCTTTTTTGCTAAAATTACCCTCAAATAAGAAATGTCAAATTTGAAGGAATCTCCGTTTTGGGTCAAAGTAAATGTTGCCGGTTCACTAACGTCATTCAACTGGGATTGAACAACGAGACATCTCCGTGCCGGCCATATCTTCTCTCTAAAGGTATGGATTATATATATTCTAAATACTGTAAATATATCGGGGAATACGTATTTATGGATATATGGTAATGGAAGATTCTCGGAAATACATAATGTTAATTCCGGTAAATTCCTTTCTAAAAGTCAAACAATTTAAAATTACCATAACCTGAAATGTCTCCTCTTCTTCTCTCCTGACCGTTATCTTCTCCATCTATCCGCATAAAATGTGCTTCTAAGTCTGTAATCATTTACCTCGAGTGGCTCGCGGGCCTTGTACAGGGTGAACCTCACTGTAAAAATAATTTTTTTTTTAAATCTCTGAGCGATTCTTTTAATGAGATAAAAAATAACATTGCTTCAAGTGTAATATATTCGTTTTTTGTTTTCTTTTTTTTTTCTGGGGAAGTGAATTTTATTTATACCGATAAACTTTTTGATAAGATTGTTTATTTTGTAGGTAGAAGCGGGTCTCGCTCTGCCAAAAGGTGAGTCAACTCAGGACAGTAGTTAAATTTAAATATGTTATCGTTTGTGCGTTAATCAAGAGTGCTCGATTCAATTTAAGTCACATTCAGGTACACGCTCACACAGACACACGCGGGCACAGACACACACACATAAAATCACGGGAACATATACAAACATGCACACACGCACAGTGATATAGTCATAATTATATATATATACAGGATGAACCAAAAATAGGTGCACACTTTTTTTTATATATTTTATTACTTTTATATTTACAACACTGTTTAATCTCGCAATTGCTCAAAATGTCTTCCTTGAACCTGACAACAATACTCGAATCTCTCCAGAACACTGCGACACACAGTGCGACACAAATTCTGATCGGAATCAATGTCAATAAATGCTGCCAAGAGAAATTCTTTTCATTCGTGTGGGGATTTTTCTCATGAACCTTATTATGAAATGGACAAAGTCCGACAATTATTTTTAAGACATTTTTTTTTATGTATATATGTTCTATTTACAGATACAAATATTTAAGTAGATTGCTCTGTTTATAATAAACAGTATTAACAACATTTACCGGCCTAAATGCCCGAGAAATTTTCATAGAAAATATGCGTCCTCCGACAGGAATCGAACCTGTATCCTATACGGAACATGAAGAAGAGGCTCGAGGTGACGGAGATGTGGTTCTACAGAAGGATGCTAAGGATATCATGGACCGAGCGTGTGAGCAACGTTGAGGTCTTAAAGAGGTTACAAACAATGAGGAGGCTTACATTTAACATCAGAAAGAGGCAGCTGAAGTTCCTGGGAGACATAACGAGGAAGGAGGGCGTGGAGAATCTGATACTCACAGGTCGGATAGTGTTATACTAGAACATTACCTATTCTATTATAATAGACTTTCCCACACATAATAAGTAGTAGTAGCGTATGCCAGTTGGGTTCAGTGGAGTTGAGTGAGTCAGTCGATGTCGGACATTAAAGTATCAACGACCACAACTAGATTGCTGCGTCATTAACTATTATTGCAAGTTCCTAACGTTTTGTGCGTCGGATCCTTTTAGGACCGACATTAAAATACAAGCCTCCACTGTGAAAACTACTCTACAACAGATAAACGGAAAGAGACACATGGGAAAAAAACGCATGACATACCTAGCTGCCTTAAGCAAGTGGATGACAGAACGTGGTCTGAGGGAAGTGGCAGAGGGAAGGAACTTGTTAAGAGCTGCAAGGGATAGAGGGATGTGGAGAGCCATGATCGCCTACGTCCTGAAAGGACACGGCACATAGAAAGTCCCTTTCTGTTAGATCATAATGAGGAGGTACCCCATCTTGTTGAAAAACAGTTCGGCGATGTTAGCTTTGAATACCTCTGATACTAACATATCGTGAAGCATCTTTAAGTAATTGTTACTGTAAAAAATCAAGTCAATATATAATTGATAAAACAAATACATTTGGCCCACCCTGTATATATCAGTTTCCCCAGAATTATATAAGTCTGCTCCTATATCTATGCGTTCTGGGTAAGACGATAAACAACATCCAATAGCAAGGACTCTGTTCAAAAGGTTTTGAAGAGCGTGGAACCATCACTTAATTGCTGGTGTTCCCAGGTCCAACCTGAACCCGGGTGGTAGCACCTGTTAGGGTCCCAGTTATGAGTAAATAGTTAACCTCCAAATTGGGGACCAAACACTATGAAAGTGTAAAAAATAGGTTTTAATACCAGCAATACATTTTTTGAGGAAAAATTATTACCAGCAATATATTACCAGCAATACATTACCAGCAATATATTACCAGCAATACATTATTACCAGCACGTGGCCGAGTGGTTAGAACGTTCGCATTCTGACCATGAGACCAGGGTTCGAATCTCGATTTATGGTCGATTTATCAGGAAGGAGACTTCCTGATGTTATCGCACTGGATGCGTCTATCCCAGCGTACGGCACCCTTGGGAAGTGACTGAAAACCGTACTACGGGTTGACCCAAGCCATGTGAGTGAAATTGGGTGCTGTCGATAGCTGTGCTAACACGAAGTCACAAGTCTTGTTCAGATTGTTGAAACTGTAACTAAGGTCTGCTCAGCATAGTTGCAATATAAACAACAGGTGGGCTTTGTGGCTTCATAGCTGTCAGACAATTTCTGCAATCACATCACCGCTTGTATCTGGCCCCTAACTCCCCAACGCTTTGATTATTATGTGTGTGTGACGCAGTTGAGCTATTGACAAGGATTATGGCAACACTCACCAACTTAAACAAGGAGACCGCTCAGAAGAATTACAGGAGATTCCGAAGTCGTCTGGAGGTCGTGGTTGTAGCCAATGGCGATTTTATTGAATAAATTTACTTTTTATTATTTCAAGACATTTTTACGTAATTTTTGGTTATCCGTTAAAATGTGCGTAATTTAGACGACAATTTATCCATCGCACCCTATTCCTTATCGCTATAAACGTTATTTTTAGAAGGTATAAGTGTTTGAGTTGCCAAGCCTTTTTTTTTTTTTTATTTGTGTTTTATTTTATTAACAAGGAAATTAATAATTAACAAATGACCTGGATCGAGAAATCCTCCTGAAAAAAAAAAAAAAAAAAACTGTGCAACCCGACAGGAATCGAAACTGTATTTTTTTTTTTTTTTTTTCATCATGAAAACCAATTTTATATCCGAAACGTGAGGCAACCAATTTGACCATTGGAGACTATTTGCATAGAACAAAGTTCAGTTTAACTATTATGCAAGATTATGTTTAAACATAAATACTAAATAAATACTAAACAAATACTAAATAAACAGCTACAAAATAGCAGGAAATTGTGTCTTCCGCTTCAATGGTAGATTAGAAAAATTACAACACTGAGTCCTGTCGATGTGATTGTGCGTTCACATGCACTCAGTCTGTCACGGAGAGGGCGAGAATGAGAGGTCAGACAAAAAGGACCCTAATCTACTTATAACTCTCCAACTACGGAATATTACGGATTTACAACAGTTTGGATACAGTGACTTATCTCAGATAAACCATATTTAATCTGCTCATCTTGTAATCTTCAAAATCCCAGGCTATAACCAAACTCAGAATTCCAAGGTAGCTTCCATTGGCTTGCAGTTTATTTACTAGCTAATCACCCATCAAAAACAACTGGATTATTCGCGTATCTAAGACCATAGTAACTGCATGATCTGCATTTTTTTAAAACTTTTTTTTATTTTGTTTAAGCATTTCACCGCCAAGAAAGGCGATGAAGCCACTAAGATACAGGGAGTTACTGAGGATGAAAGAAAATAAAGAGAAAGAAACTTGGAAAATATTACTGAGGAGAAAGGCGAATGAAAATAACAGGAAGGAAGAAAACAAAAACTGACGTTGACATTTTTTTAAGCATTTCATCCGCAAGCAAGGCGATAAAGCCACTAAGATACAAGAACAGTTTTTTTTGTTTCTTTGATTTGTTTTCTACGGCTTATCAAGCCTTTGGGGGTTATTTAAAGCCAGAAAATATTTCTATATTTTTTTTTTTTTTTTGATAATAATAGATTAGTGATACATGTCTTACTAATTAACCCATAGCTGGGGGAGAAGAGGTGGATTAATGGATATTGTATCGGAATTGGAAATAGTTGTGGGTTCATAGATTTCCCAAAGGTTTTAGCACGTAAGTGAATATAACGAACCCAACCGGAATTGGAACTCGGCTCTCCGATTGACAATCGCTATAACTGCACGTTCATCTACACTTAGTTTATCGTGGATGAGGAGAGAATGAGCGATCAAACAAAGGACTCCCTAATCTGGTTATAACTCTCTAATCACGGGGTTTTACGGATTTACAACAGCTTAGATGAAATGACTTATGACAGGTAAGCTCGTCTTGTGATTTTTGAAAATCCAAAGCTGTTCCAGGGTAGCTTCCATTGATTTGCAATTTATTTACTAGCAAAGAACCCCGTCAAAAATAAAGAGATTATTTACGTATCGTAAAAACATGATCTGCATTTTTTTTTATCATTTCACGCTAAGCAAGGCGATAAAGCCACTAAGACGAAAGTAGATACTGAGACAGAAAAACATTATCGAGGTGAAAGAACAATTAAATAAACAGGATGCAAGGAGACGGGAGTTGATGTTTGACGTTGCATTTAGAATTTTGTACATTTTAGTTGATAGAAAAGAAAAAAAGATATGGAGGAAAGAATCTGGTATTCCCAAATGGTCACCCATCAACGTACCGACCAAACTCGACGTTGCTTAACTTCAGAGCTCGTATGAGAAACGGTGTTTTAACGTGATATGACCGTAAATCGGGAACGAAGGTGAAAAAACAAACCTTACTAATAGCTACAAATGAGAGAAAGTTGTGGAGCGCCATAATCACCCACGACGTAAACCTACACAATACCGTCTTCTTCTTTGCGCCGTGTCCCTTCAGCACGTTAGCGATCATGGCTCTCCATAATTTCCTGTCCGTTGGAGCTCTTAATATTTTTTTTACTTTTCGTGAACTCTCCTAAACCTTGATCTCTCATCCATTTACTGAAGCTCGCTAGCTAGGTTAGGCGTTGTTTTCCTCTGTCCCTCTTGCCTTCAATCTATCCTGTGAGTATCACATTTTCCAATCCCTCTTTCCTCATTATGTGCCCTAGAAATTTCAAGTATATCTCTCTGCCATTAAGTATAACTTTCCTTTTTGTTTCAATTTTCTCTAAAACTACGTCGTTGCTCATATGTTCAATTAATGGTATTCTCAGCATCCTTCTGTAGAACCATATTTCTGTTAGTTCCAGTTTTCTCCTCATCTGTGAGAGGATTGTCCAACATTCACTGCCATATAGAAGGAATGATATTATATAACAGTTCGGCACTCTTTTCTCTGTTTCTGTTGCCTCAAGACTCCCCTTCATCTATGAGTTAATTACTACTACTGTACTGTACTGATGCGGCATTCACCCTGGGCGGATTGAGCCGGCTTCTTCCTGTTATGAGAAGAAGATTCTTGGGATAAATTACAGAAGTAGGGTACCCAGGCCTACTCGAATAACGTTCTTGCTTGCCGCGGGATTCCCACAGACGCAGAGACAGGAACGACCAGAAGCCGCCGGTTGCCGATGCAGACGCTCCTTGGATTTTCACCAGAGCCCTTGTTAGCCGGCGTGTGTGTCAGACCTGTCCGCCTTGGGTGGCCCTACCAGGAACGAAGTTCCGGGCGGCATAGCTCTGACATTACCGTTTACACCCCCCACCGACGAGTTAATTGATCAACATTAATTGCCATATAGGAAGATTGAAATTACGTAAGAGTTCAGAAATCTTTTCTTTGTTTCTTTTGCCTCATGTCTCGTTTTCATCTATGAGTCAATTGTCCATCATTCACTGCCATATAAGAGGACTGATATTACCTAATAGTTCAGTACTCTTTTCTTTGCTTCTATTACCTCATGTCTCGTTTTCTTCTATTAGTAATTTGTCCAGCATTCACTGCCATATAAGAGAACTGATATTGCATAATAGTTCAGTACTCTTTTCTTTGCTTCTGTTACCTCATGTCTCGTTTTCATCTATGAGTAAATTGTCCAGCATTCACTGCCATATAAAAGGACTGATATTACATAATAGTTCAGTATTCTTTTTTTTGCTTCTTTTGCCTCATGTCTCGTCTTCAGGTTTCTTAATACATTCCTAAATTTTTAGATGGTATCTTTTGCAATCCCGATACGACTTCGGATTTCAATGTCACACTTTCCGTCCTCGGCATATATGCTTTCCAGATATTTAAATTGATGTAATTGTTTGATTTGGGTATCTCCAATTTAAGCGGAAAATTATATTAATATCGTGTATATTTCTGTCATTTGAAAATGATCACGTCTATTAATTTCTCTCTCTCTCTCTATATCTCTATATATATATATATATATATATATATATATATATATATATATATATATATTGAATCTCTTTGTACGAAACTCTTTCTGGTTTTATTTATTTTGTTCTTTATTGGAGCTTCATGTCTAAAAAAAAATTGTATTTAATATCTTCTTTGCACATTTAGTTATGTTTTTCGTATTTTAACTTCATGTGCACGATTTTCAAAGACATCCTGATCTATTTATCGATCTATTGATCTTCTCATCTAAAATATCAAGATGAATGAAGTCTTTTTCCCTCCTATATCATTCTATTTTCGATCGTTTTTGAGTTAGTTTCCTTCGAAATTCGGTTAAGTGGACTTAACAAAGAAAGAAAAGATTAATGGATTTTCATGTTTAAAAAAAAAAAAGAAAGAAAGACAGTATAGAAAGAAAGAAAAAGAAAGAAAGAAAAGAAAAGAAAAAAAGAAAGAAAGAAAGAAAGAAATAGAAAGTTGGAAAAAGAAAGAAAGAAAGAAAGAAAGAAAGAAAAATATCAGTTGGAAAGAAAGAAAAGAAAAAGAAAAAAGAAAGAAAGAAAAGAAAAGAAAGAAGAAATATCAGTTGGAAAGAAAGAAAGAAAAAAAAAGAAAGAAAAAAGAAAGAAAGAAATAAAAGAACAAATATCAGTTGGAAAGAAAAGAAAGAAAAATGTCAAAAGAAAGAAAGACAATGCAAGGAAAATAAAGAAAGAAAAGAAAGAAAAAAAAAAAGAAAAGTGAAAAAAGAATTAAAAAGAAAGAAAAGAAAGTGAAAATTGAAAAGGTAAAGAAAGAAAGAAAAGTAGAAGTGTCAATTGGAAAGAAAGAAAGAAAGAAAGAAAGAAAGAAAGAAAGTTTAATGGATTTTTCATAATGCTTAAAAAGCAAGAAAGAAAACCCAGAGGTAAAGAAAGAAGACCAGAAAGGAATGTGCTCCCAAACTCCTGTTCTCTCCAAACAGTTGAACAAATAACTTGCTGATTGTTGATTTCCAGCTTGTTGGGAATCCTCTCCTGTTGTTTCTGTCTTTAAGAACTCTGGTGAACCTTGAATTATCGCTCCATTAGTCATTTACCTATTTTTGGCAAAGTACTACAGGATCAACTCTGAATAGTTAAGCATCTCACATCGTACGGTCTTCTTTCAGATAAACAATATGGCTTTCACTACTGTATGTCCATGGTTATTACTGAATTTGTCTATCAAACTTTAGATAAAAACGACTAGGCTCGGGCTGTAGCTTTAGACATCTTGAAGGCGTTTGACAGGATGCTGGCCTTCTTCATAAGCTCAAGTGTTATGGTATCTCCAGCTTAATATTTGACTTAATCCAATCGTTCTTAACAAATCGTGAAATAAAAGTTGTGCTTCTCGATCCCTTTGTCTTTAAGGCGAATGGGCAGGCAGTGATCTATCATTGGACCTACATTGTCTCGTATCTTCATTGACAAATTGTCCCAATAACAGCAGTTTTCAACTGGGCATTTATTCCTGTCTTTGCAACTAGGTCTTAATGTTGAAATATTTAGATGTAATCGTAAATTCTATTCTAATAGTTTTTTTCTCGCACTTTTCTGCTGTGGAAATTTTTTCGTGTTTCTTGCTTCCAAAGTTTAAATGCAGCGTCAATCGACATCTTCTGTCTTCCTAAATCTTGTTCTTTTCTTCTCCTTTCTCCTCACTAAAGATTTCTCATTCTCTTCCATTCTAAGTAAAATCTGGCGTCTTAGAGTCTTTATCGCCTTTCTTTGAGACGATTAAAAAAATAGATAATTCGAAGGATCAGACGGTTCACCCAATTTCTTGCAAACATGATCTACAGAAGAGGATTTTCAACAAGCTTTAAATCAAACAATAAGCAAGGAATTTTTTTTTTAGAATTTATAGATAACTGTAGCTACTTCAAAAAGAGATTTCCTTAAGACAATTGCACTCCTTGTAAGGGATCTAGTTTGGATATAATAGCATAACCCATGCACAGAGTAATATGTACGAGCAATTGAAAATCTAGTATTTATCCTCCTCATTTCTAATGGTAATGGCAACATCAGCCTTTTCCATATAAGGAAACATTTGGCACTCATTGATTGAAAAGCTGCTGCCGATGGAAAATTATGAAATCTTTCTATTAATAGAATATTTCAGGAAAATATTTTTTTGTCAAGTCCACTAATTGTTAACGCCCTTTCCATGACTGATGGGGTTTCTTTCCTTAACTAATAGGTTTCCTTTCCTTGACTGATGAGGTTCCTTTCCATGACTAATGGAGTGCCTTTCGATAATTGATGGGGTTCCTTTCGATGACTGATGGGGTTCCTTTCCTTGACTCATGGGGTTCCTTTCCATGATTGATGGGGTTCCTTTCCTTGACTGATGAGGTTCCTTTCCATGACTAATGGAGTGCTTTTCTTTGATTGATGGGGTTCCTTTCCTTGACTGATGGGGTTCCTTTCCTTGACTGATGGGGTTTCTTTCCTTGACTCATGGGGCTCCTTTCTATAACTGATGGACTGCTTTTCTTTGACTGATGGGGTTCATTTCTATGACTGATGGGGTTCCTTTCCTTGACTGATGCGGTTCCTTTTCTTGACTGATGAGGTTTCGTTCCTTGACTCATGGGGTTCCTTTCCGTAACTGATGGAGTGCCTTTCTTCGACTCATGGGGTTCCTTTCTATGACTAATGGGGTTCCTTTCTTTGACTGATGAGGTTCCTTTCCTTGACTGATGAGGTTCCTTTCCATGACTAATGGAGTGCCTTTCTTTGACTGATGGGGTTCCTTTCCTTGACTGATGGGGTTTCTTTCCTTGACTCATGGGGCTCCTTTCCATAACTGATGGACTGCTTTTCTTTGACTGATGGGGTTCCTTTCTTTGACTGATGGGGTTCCTTTCCTTGACTGATGAGGTTCCTTTCCATGACTAATGGAGTGCTTTTCTTTGATTGATGGGGTTCCTTTCCATGACTAATGGGGTTCATTTTTTTGACTGATGGGGTTCCTTTCCTTGACTGATGGGGTTCCTTTCCTTGACTGACGGGGTTTCTTTCCTTGACTCATGGGGCTCCTTTCCATAACTGATGGACTGCTTTTCTTTGACTGATGGGGTTCCTTTCTATGACTGATGGGGTTTCTTCCTTGGGTTTTGTTTGACGAAGCGTGTTGTATCAATATCTTGATGATATTATTGATATTATTGTTCTCTTCGTGTTATCTATTTCAGCTCTTGCTGTTGTTGAGGATTATCAAGTGATGTGGTCAAATCACCAGTCAAGAAGAAGAAGAAGAAATACATTGACGCTGCACAAGGATTGCTTCTTGTGGATTCTGGTCATAAGTGATTGAACGTATTTAATAAAAAAGCTTTCAACGGACTAAGATTAACTGACATACTTGTCTACATTACTGAAAAAGAACACTTACACTTAGAATCAGGAAAAGACAACTGAAATTCCTTGGGCATATAATGAGGAAGGAGTGCTTGGAGAACTTAACCCTCACGTGAAAGGGAGAGTAAGCAAGAAGGAAGCCTTAAACAAAATAGCAAAAGAATGAACACGTCTACTCAGAATCAGGAAAAGACAGCTAAAATTGCTTGGACACATAATGAGGAAATAGGGCTTGGCGAAATTAACCCTCACGGGACGGAGCGAATAAGCAACAAGGAAGGCTTAACGAAAATGGTAAAAGAAAGAGCACTTCTACTCAGAATCAGGAAAAGACAGCTGAAATTCCCTGAACACATGATGAGGAAGGAGGGCTCGGAGAACTTAACCCTCACGGGAGAGAGCGAGTAAGCAACAAGGAAGCCTTAAAGAAAATGGCAAGGGAAAAAATACTTCTACTCAGAATCAGGAAAAGACAGCTGAAATTCATTGGACACATGATGAGGAAGGAGGGTTTGGAGAAATTAACCCTCACGGGAAGGAGCGAGTAAGCAACAAGGAAGCCTTAAATAAAATGGCAAGAGAAAGAACACTTCTATTCAGAATCAGGAAAAGACACCTGGATTTCTTTGGACACATAATGAGGATGGATGGCTTGGGGATCTTAACACTCACGGGAGAGAGGGAGTAAGCAACAAGCCTTACAGAAAATGGCAAGAGAAAGTACACTTCTATTCAGAATCAAGAAAAGACAACTGAAATCCCTTGAACACATGACGAGGAAGGATGCCTTGTAGAACTTAATCCTCACGGGACGGAGCGAGTAAGCAACAAGGAAGTCTTAATGAAAATGGCAAGAGAAAGAACACTTTTACTCAGAATGAGAAAAAGGCGGCTGAAATTCCTTGGATATATAATGAGGAAGGAGGGCTTGGAGAACTTAACACTCACGGGGCATCAGAGAAAGCAGCGTGCCACTTACCTGACATACTTTTGTGAATGCTGTGATTACCACCAATCGTAACAAGTTTTATGAACGTGTAGACAATGATCGTCTATGTCCTGAAGGGACTTGGCACATAAAAACAAAGAAGAAAGGGCAAGACGATATAAATATATCAGTCAATAAATAAAAAATAGAAAAGTGAAACGTAGACAAAGGCTACAATAGGGATTTTCTTTGAGAATTCGTTGAAACAAGGAAAGGATTTGAGATGACGGAATATGTGACAGTAACTGGAGATTGGTGTTTTTCTTCTCAAATTTTACTAAAAAAAAAATCGACCCCACTTTTTATGCAGGATAATGCTCCCTGTCACAAATCAAAATTGATGAAGGAATACTTTGATGAAAATCAGGTGAGTGTTATGACATGGGCGCCCCAATCTCCTGACCTCAACCCCATAGAAAACTTATGGAGCATTATGAAGTACAGGCTCTCGAGAAAGCAGTTGAGCAACATGCGCCCTGAACTTATTCAATGATTAACTGAAGAATTAAGAAGTGGTTATTAAGAACAATAAAAGAAAAGGAATCAAGAACACAGTAGATTGACATCGCATTTAAATATTTGGACATTAAAGTTGACTAATAAAGGTACTAAGACAGAAGGGTTACTAAGAATAAGAAAAAGAAAATATTACTAAAGAGCGAGAAGAATAAAAGAAGAAGAATCAAGAAGACAGTAGATAACGATTGACATTGCATTTAAATCTTTGAATATTAAAGTTGACTAATAAAGCCAATAAGACAGAAGGGGTTACTAAGAATAAGAAAAAGAAAACATTAGTAAGGAGCGAGAAGAATAAAAGAAGAGGAATCAAGAAGACAGTAGATATCGATTGATATTGCATTTAAATTTTTGAAAGCTGGCTGGAAAGCAAGAAGCCGGAAGCGAGTTCCACGGCCGACAAATACGAGCAAAGAAACTGTTAACAAAGAACTTACGGTTGCATCTCACCACTGTAAAACAGTGAGACCTTATTGCCAATCTAGTACTGCGATTAAATCGATAAAATCTCGGTACTATTAAAGCAAAGCTCATCAGAACAATTTCCATGAAAGTATTTATAGAGACGTTAGAGTGAAGCTATTTTGTAGCGGGGTAAAAAGGACTGAAACTGAGGTGTCAGATCAGGACCAATAACATTGCAGATTCTTTTTTGAATTTTATCAAGAATCTTTAAATGTAGAGCCGGAGCCCCAGACCATATGTGGCAGCGATATTCGAAGCATGGAGATATGATACACTTGTAAGTATGTAAGATAGATTCTGGAGAGAAAAATTGTCTAGCATGACATAGTGAACTAACTCTCCTAGCAGTAGACCTAACAATTGATTCAATATAATCTTTCCAATTCATGTCGGCAGAGAATGTTAGCGCTTGAAAGCGCATCGAGTTACTCTCCTGGGGGTTAGCATCAGCCATACTGATGGCAGGCTGAAAGGAGTCTCTCGGATGATTAATAGAGAGCAGTTTTGTTTTGGATTCG